AGCTGGCCCCTGGCAGCAGGACCACAATACAAACCTGGTACATGAGCTAGCTTGTTGGAACCCATTCCCTATGGTGGGGTGCCATGCTCCGTCTTAATGCATGGGAGAGGGGCTTGGCCCTGCCTCAATCTATTGTGTCAGACTTTGTTGACTCCTCATGAGAGCCCTTACCCAAGAGGAGGATTAGACTGGGAGTGTGCTGGTGGGGAAGCAAAGGGGGACAGCAGGAGGGGTGAGAGGGAGAATTGTGGTTGGAATGTAAAATAAAATTTAAAAGAATCAATAAATTACACTTAAAAAGGAATATAGTACCGAATCAGGTCCTCAGCCCTGTAGTGGAGCTTGCTTTGACCTATCCTCACTCTACCTCGGTTCCCTGTGGGTTCTGATGAACGTTTCAGAGAACAAGCTTTCCTCTCCCAGCCCTCCCTGTCAGCAACTTATACCTAGAAACACTCTCCAGGGGATCTGGTCTCGCCACCAGGCTGGAAATCAGGTAGGCGATCTAGACTCTCCTTCCACTCCTCATTACAACGTTTCCACTCTCATCCCCAGCTCTGCAGCAGACCACTTGTAGAGGCCAGTCTGCTGACTACCTCCAATCCCTGGAAATCCGGTAAAAACCTTACAGCAGACCCGAATCCCCTCCTTTCTGTGGACCCTCTCAGCTGCCCTTTCCAGCCCATTTCTATCCCATTGTGTCAGCTGCCAATACCTAGAAATCCTTTCCGCCTGCGATCCACAGGAGCCACACAGAACCTGGACTCGGGTAGGTGATTTTCAGTCACCTGTCCTCCAATGCGTTCCCTCACGCCCGGCCCTATAGCATACTGCTTGTAGGAACATCTCCTCCCACCCCAGCTCAGGCCAGTAGATTCTGCTGAACTTCCTGGCAACTCCAGCTGTTTTTTTTTTTTTTTTCCTTACTTTCATTATGTCCGCTGAAGGTGCCTGGAAACACTGTGTATTTGGGACCCCGGCTGTCCACATTGGGCTGGAACTCATGTAAGTGATTTTTCACTTCCTTCCTGTCTTCCATTAGAATCTTTCCAGTCTTATCCCCAGCTCTGTGGAGCCTACTTGTAGGGCATATCCTTCCACGTTACTCCATTCCTGAGAGACTCTACCAATCCCTGGAGAGGATCCAGCTTTCCTCTTCCTGTGACTCTCTCATCCCTCCCCCACTTCTTGTTCATCCTGATTCCTTCCTGTCAGCTTCTGATACCAGGGACTCTGCGTGGCCACACCAGGCGTGGACTCAGGTAGATGGGTTCGCGCTGTCTTTCCTCTCCTCCATTACAATGTCTCACTTCTCCACTTCAGAAAGTCAGACCTGCTTACAGATGACCCTCCTCCCAGCTCCATTTCATTCACTGGAGACTAAAACCCTTGGTCAGACCAAGAATTCCCTTAGCCATTCCATCCATCTCTCTCCAGATAATTTACGACCTGACTGCAACTTACTTGTAAGGTCCCCTCTTCCCATCATACTTCGAGTTCCCTCTTGATTTGAACAGGATTCCCTACCCTTTCTCCTGAAGCCTTACTCAATCTTTTCTCCCAGCCCAACTCTATTCTTCTCTGCCACCCACTAACCCTCAGAAGCACTCCCTCCAAGAAAGCACACATACACAAAATGCCCTAAGATCTAGAAAGGGAAACAGAAGCCAGTGAGTGCGAAAGCACCCCAACCAAGTCAAGACCAGACAGCAACCCTTAAATCACAGACATACCAACCTCCCATGCCTAGGCATAGGAGAGCAAAGACACAATCTTCAAGGGTGAAGACAGAAAGTCTCCACAGAACCCAGTAGCATGATAGCAATAGGCCCTGAGAAATATAGTACAGCTGAAGCACAAGATAAGGGCTTCAAATTAGCAGTTATGAATATGTTCAAGAACCTGAAAGAGGATATGGGTGAGTCCCTTAATGAAGTCTGCAAAAAGCACACACAGTGGAATGAAACAAAGAAAACATTTCAAGACATGAAAGCAGAATTTAACAAAGAAATGGAATTTTTAAAGAAAAATCCCAACTAAGCTATAACTGGCAATGAAAAATATTAAAAAAGTCAAACATAAAGCCAAGGAATAAACTTCAGCAGCAGAGCACAAGAGACAGAAGAAAGATTTTCATGCATTAAAGACAAAGTAGAAGAAATGAAATCATCAGTCAAAGAAGATGTAAAATAAAAAAATCCATGCACAAAACATCCAGTATCTGGAACACTACAAAAAGACATAATCTATGAATAGTAGGAATAGAGGAAGCAGAAGAAACCCAAGTGAAAGGGGGAAAAGTATTTCTGTAACCTAAAAAAAAGGGTGTGCCTGTCAAGGTACAAAAGCGCAGAATATACCAAATAGAAAGGATCCAGGGGGAAAATGCCCACAACACATAATAATCAAAACACCAAATATACAGAACCAATAAAGAACACTAAAAGCTGCAAAGAAAAAAACAAGTACCATATAAAGGCAGACTTATTAGAATTATTCCTGACATGTTGATAAAAGATAGAGTTGAAGACACACAAATAAGTTCACAGGACTATAGATACCTGACTTCTCAAAGATAGAATACAAATGGTTAAAAAACTCTTACAGAAATGTTCAACATCCTTAGTCATCAGGTAAATTCAAATATAAAAACTTTGAGATTTTACCTTACAGCAGTCAGAATGGCCAAGATCAATAAAACAAAGGCCTGCTCATGTTGGTGAGGATGTGGACTAAGGGACGCACCCATCCACTGCTGGTGGGAGTAGTACAGCCACTCTGGAAATCATTGTGGCAGTTCCTCAGGAAACTGGGAATATACCTACCTCGAGACCCAGCTGCACCACTCTTAGGCATATACCCAAAGGACACTACATCCTACTAAAGAGATGCCTGCTCATCCATGTTCATCGTTGCTTTATTCAAGATGCCCAGAAACTGGAAACATCATGGATGTATATCAGCAGATGAATGGATAATGAAAATATGGTGCATTTATACATCAAAGTATTATTCCATTGTTTTAAGAAACAATGAAATCACAAAATGGCATGTAAACAAGCCCATTCTGAGTGATATAATCCAGCTGTAGGAGTCAAATACGATATGTATTCTCTTCTATGTGGAGTTATGTTTTGAGCCTTTGTAGACATACTACAATCCATATAACCACAGATATTAGTTGTGGAGAAAGAGACTAGTGGGGGAGAAAGATCTCTCAATGAATAAGGAAGAATATACAACTAGGGAGTGACGTGGGGAAATTGGTAAAGGGGGTTAATAAAGAGGGTGAGGAAAGAGAGATATAATGAAGACAATACAAGAAGGGACGGTAACGCTAAGGACCACTTGAGGGGTGCTAAGAAAATCTGCTATAGAAACTCCCTATACATATACACACATGATAAAAATCCAAATGTAATCACCAAATAACAGGGAATATAATGCCCTCTCTAGACATCCCTTGCCACCAAATGAAACCTATAGATCCAGGAGAGGATTACATCTAATTGAGTAGTTGACCAAACGGGTCCCATGGAAACCCCCAAACAACTCAGGCTGTTGCGGAGGCTATTGTTTGCTCTCTACAAACTGAGAGCAATGCCCTATTTGCTGATAATGCCTACATATCTAATTGAACATGAGGAAATCCTACTGGTGGCTAACTACAGCTTTCCCCTTTACTGACCAGAGTTCTGCACACTACCAGAGGAATAAGGTAAACACTAACCCTGCTCCAAGCCCTGGGACCTACAATGGTTTTCTGCCTGGATGATAAGCTGTTGCAGTAGTGCCTCAAAAGTTATGGGAGTAACTGACCACTATCTGATGGCAATTAAAGCCCACTCCATGAGATGGACCATATTTGTGATGGTGCTTAGGTGCCAAGAATCTGAGATTTATTAGGCCATGGACCTAAGGAAAAAATATTGTTCTACCATAAGAATATAACAACAAAATGCTTCCTAATGTCATCCTGCCATACCCATAGATCACTGTCTTGCTCTGCCGTCATCAGAGGAGCCTCTTCCTACATTAGATGGGAACTAACAGAGAGACTGACAACTGGACAATCTGCAGAGAATCAAGGACCTTGGAACACTCATCCCTTAATGGAGTGTCTTCATCAAACCCCTTTCCTTAGGATTCAGGGAACTATGAAGAAGGGGTGGGAAGATTTTAAGAGCCATTGGGATAGAAGACACCAAGGCAACAGTGCCATCCAGACACAACAGGACCGATGCACATATGAACTCACAGAGACCAAGGCAGCATGCACAGGGCCTGCACATGCCCAAGCCAGGTGGGCTCCCAGCACTGCCAGGGGAAGTGGACATGAGTACACTCCATTAATTCAGAAACTATCTCCAATTGACAACTGCTCACAAAGGAAAATTAATTTTTCAATGGTGTCTCACTGGGTATAAAAACTACACTTATGTATGGGCTCCATGCCCAGCAGTAGATAGCCAACACATGACAAACTCAGAGACATTTTTGTCTCATAATACCTGCAAATGTCATTATTTTATTTCTCCTTATGGCTTAACAAAATTACCATGTGTATTTTATCACTATGTGTCACATTTTCATCCATTCTCAAAATTAATCTAGGCTGGATTCGTTTTCTAGGCACTGTGAATAGTGTAGGGATGTACAAAGGTGTGCAAATATCTCTGTGATGTGTGTGAGTTCTTTAGGTGTATATGCAAGAGCGGTACATTTTGATAGTATGGTAGTGTCATTTGCACTTTCTTTTTAACACAATTAATTATTGATTCTTTGGGAATTTCATACCATGCACCTCCCAGTCCCTCTGTATCCTCCCCTCACACCTGCATCATGCCCCCAAAGAAGTCCCCCAAAAAATATCAATTAAAAACAAAGCAAAACATACACACTAAACCACCTCACTCCTCCATCTCTCCAACACCTTTTCATTCATCCTAGCGGCATTGGTGCTGCAGTGTGTGACGTGGTATACCCTTTTGTTCCATCAGCTCACTCAGAAAATGTTCATTGCAATGAGTCGTGGGTCTGGTTCAAGTCCTCTGGCACACCATCATCACTGGACCCGCATCAAAACTCCTGATATTTTTCTGTTGCCCTGAGTCATGGAGATCCTTCAGTTATCTACACAGGACCGGTCCCTTCATGCACTTCAGCAGGAGATAGATGAGGGTAAACGATGGGGTGGGCCAACCCAAGGCGCAGGATGTGGGTCTGAGCAGTAGCTGAGCTGGTTCTTTTGCTTATATATTATGGTTTTCAATTTTGTGATTTTGGTGGGTTAGTATGTATGTATGTATGCATACCTCTGCAAGTGTGTGTGTGTGTGTGTGTGTGTGTGTGTGTGTTTCATGCTTCCTCTTTGTTTTGTTTTCTGTTTCCTTTGGTTTACTGTTTTGTTTTGCCTGTTTGTTTTCTAAACAGAAGAATGTATTGAGTTGAATGGGTTGATAAAAAGGAGAATTTGAGAGGTGAGGGAAGGGAAATAGTGATCAGAATATTTTATATGAAATAATACTTTCAATAAAATAGAATAAAAGAATATAGCACAACCATTAATATAAGCTGGCATACAAAACCCAGTTCTTTTTATAATTTTATTTAAATTAGGAACAATCTCATTTTGCTTATCAATCCCAGTTCCCTCTCCCTCCCTTCCTCCCATGCCCCCCACCACACCCCCATCCCATCCCCCATCCTCTCCCCAGGGAGGGTGAGGCCTTCCATGGGGAATCATCAAAGTCTGTCAAGTCATTTGGGGCAGGGCCTAGGCCCTACCCAGTGTATCTAGGCTGAGAGAGTATTCATTTATGGGGAATGGGCTCCCAAAGTCCATTTGTGCACTGGGGATAAATACTGGTTCCACTGACAGAGGTCCCATAGACTGCCCCAGCCTCCTAGGTGACACCACGTTCACAAAACCCAGGTCTTTCACATACCACTGACCACTGGAAGAAAGTGACAACATGAATCTTTGCTAAAGACGACTTTTAAGTGTCTGGTTTATGACACAGTTTATTAATCAAATCTTTTACCCTAACCCATGAGACAGAAATACACCTATCACTCTCAGTGTTTATGTTTTCATTTTTAGACACAAGTAGTAGAGTAGCCTAGACTCAGAGAGAAGGCTGTCCTTCTGTAACACGGTCCTATGAAATGAATTATATTTGCCTTAATATATATTTTTGTTTAAACCTTTGTCTTGTATTTTGGTATACCTCTGTTCTCAAAAGTCATTTGAATGATATTGTTCTTTAATTTTGCATCCCTTACTTAAAATTCTCTACATTCCTCACTAGATTATTAAGTTCCTTTCACATAGTAAAATGTAGCCCAATAGGGATCAGTCAGTTGACAAGATCATTCAAGCATTTCTGCATTCTCAATTAGCTAAGAAATTTTGATGTATCTCATTTTTCATCCACTGTGAACACAACATCTTTCAAAATATTTTCCTCGGGTCAGAGTGTAAATTTACCATAATAGCTAGCCAATTTTTTTATAATTAGATCATATGGGATTTAGGCCTCCTATTGCTTTGGTTGCATGTGATATGAGTAGTTCTGTTTGAATAATGACTCAGGGAGAAAAAAAATAATTGAGAAACTGACCTTGGCATATTGCAAAAGAAAGCATGGAGGCTTTTGACAGTAGAAAAGCTTCTAATTACTAGATGCCCGAAATTCACAGGGAAGAAGTTATAGTTGTACTGGAGGCTGACTCTGCAGTTCAAATTGTTGAGTGATAACTTTGGGTTGAAGTATGATGTATATTCCATTTTGAATGATTTATGAGAAGTGTAACACAGTAATTTAGGAAAGAAAGTATATTTTGGAAACTATGTTTTCTGTAATTAACAATTATACCTTAAGAAACCAAATGAAGACACCGGGTAAGTAACAATCCCAGGCACAATGGTGGGTGACACAGTATAATAGGAAACCTTTGGGGAAGGTTGGGTTAGAGTAACTATTTGCAAAATGAATTCTGAATGCAACTATGATAAGTAAGGTCAGACACATGTGGATTAAACTGTCTGTTTGTCACTTACTTGCCTAATGACCTTGTGCAATATATTCTCAGTTTTAGGGAACTCTTCTGATTTAAAAGTGGGGACAAAAGCATTGGTGTGTTGCTGCAATTGAGTGATAAAACATGTAAAGAACAGTCCAGAACCTGGTGCAAGGTAACTAGTAAATTGCTGGGATTTATTGGCCATTCTTGGATGGCTAGAATCAGACAGAATTTACAGGAATGTTTTAGATCAGACAGCCTTGTAAAATAGTTCCAAGTCATATAATGAAATCCAAGATGAAAAGAAGCCATAAATTTTTAGTCTTCAGGGCATCTTTCTCCATCTTTTCACTCTCTGTCTTAAATAATAACTTCTGCTCACTTTGGGGGAAGTTCTACTTACTCTAAGGAACTGAATTCTATAATAATCTGTCTTACATTTTTACTGAAATATTTTTGAGGACTACATATGAGAACATGTCAATAATTCAAAATCTTTCAGGAGAGTTAGGCAACTTACTTTGTTCCAATTATGTGATTAACGATTTCCTTGTCTCTGTAGAATGATCACACTTCAGGCAGTTGACACCGACATCTGTCACCACAACAATGCTTGCTTTGCATGGTAGCCAGGAACATACAAGAGTAAATAGACACATTTCATGCTTGCCTTTGTGCAACATAGAAAACCAGAAATAAAATCCAAGCTTCCAGAATCATCTAAAACCATCAAACATATACAATGAAGAATTGCAAGGTCCTTTTGCTGTGTGCTAGTTTTTACATTTAAGAACTGTTTTGTTGAAGAGATGTTACATATTTATTATGCTCCTACTAAAAAGAAAACCTAAATTAGCTTAAAATCTTAAAAGGTTATATTTTATATGAGCAGAAAAAATCATAATGTTATTATGCTTTGTATAATTATTGATTGTATGTTTAAAGCTTGGACAAAGCCTAGAAATTGTATAGTAACAAGAACTATACTTGATGATGTCTACTAGTCGTTATTGTTTCTGATTAGTGGAGCATGAGTTAGTCTGATAAAGTTGTTCTAATTAATATAATTATTAAGTTCCAACAAAACAAAGGCAAGAAGCTATTCTAAGTTTCTGCTTTGGGGGCATTCCACTAAGCTGGAAAGCTCAGATTGTAAAGGCATTTGTTACCAAGTTGACAACCCAATCTCAAGCTCCCTCCATGACCCACATAGTGGAAGGAGACAACTGCCTACAGCAAGCTGTCCTTTGACCACCATATAATGCATCACAACACACACAAAGAGAAAGAGAGAGAGAGAGAGAGAGAGAGAGAGAGAGAGATGCAAACACAATTAATTAATTAATAAAATTATAAAAAATATGTGAAGTTCTAATTTTAATCCAAAAGCTAAACCTTCTAAGAAATGAGAAAGGGAAGTTTGTTTCTCAAATTCAGCATTTTTTCAGTGCTATATTGACAGGTATCTAAAGCATGGGTGATCTATTAGTCATTACATAACAGGTACTTCTCTTTCAGTCAGGGGGTTATATAGCACAGGCTGTCTGGAAACTCCCTATAAAGCTAAGGACAGCACTGAACTTTCTGGTTTTCCTGCCTCCACCTCACAAGTGATAAAATTACAGTTATGCCCCACCATACAGACATGTCCCTCTTCAAGGAATTGAACCTAGGACTTTGAACATGCCAGGCAAGTATTCTATCAACTTTCCAGCTAAGTTTCATTCCTAGCCTAGTATTTCTTTTAATAGAAAAAAATTAATCTTTAGCTATCAAAGATATGGGGCAATGTATACCTCAAAGTCAGTACAGAGAATGAAATGAACATAATGTCCCTTGACATGAACATTTAAGTTATCTGAAATTCTGTTTGCATAGGTTATCTGGTTGAACACTAAGCCCTCTTAATTCTATCACAAAGCATCATTTTAATAAATCTTGTGTTTGCAGTACAGAATGATTTTTAACTGCCTAAAGTCCATTTGGAAGTACATACTCTAGGCAGTGTAGAATTCATTTGCATGAGAACAAAAGAAATACTTTCACACATGAGTTTAACAAGGACTAAATAACTCTCCTTTTCAGCCAACTATTACCCTAAGATTCTACAATCCACCTAACAATGTTTGACTCACTGTAGCCACTGAGGAATGCATCTGGCTTCAGCTGAAATTTGAACAAATGAAATCAAAGTGTGGCTTATATGATAAAATGATAAAAGGACAAACTCTTTAAAGACTTCAATACCCTGTAAGAGATTCCATTATTAACATCATCTTGACTAGAGCTTGTTGCTTTGCTCCACTGGCAGACATTCTACTATCGCATTCCAGCATGTCACCCAATGTGTGGAAAAGTGTAAACTTAATTCAAATACAGAGACCCTGAACTAGAACTGTAGCAAAGAAAACAAAATATTCTATCACCTGCCATCTGGTCCAAGACCAAGGATAAAGATAAAATCGATTCCCGGCAAACCAAATCTTACCAGTGTGTATATTTGACAATACTAGCTATTAGAAAGCTGCACAACTCCTGTAGACCAAGATTCTAAATAAATAAGAAATTATGCAGTGAACCAGCTTTGGGGAAAGAGTACCCAGGTGCTGTTGCCTGGAGACATTGGGAAGGGACCAATTGCCTAAATTTGTTCTGCTCTAGAGAATCAAAATCCTTGTGCATTCCCATCTCTGGGACTCCAGAGATATCCCTCTGTACTTGTTCAGAAGCTAATTGCCTTACAAATCAAATTAGACTCAATAAAGAACCTCTGAAACTAGCCCACAAAGAGCACTATATTTCAGGAAATAGGTGGTGTGACATAGGTGGCAAGGGAGGTAGCTTCCAGAAATAGGGGATGATAGAACCTGCCTTTCAGTTCCAAAAATGTAGCTAGTTACGTGTTAATTTTTATGAGTGACAGAACTGAATACAACTATCATGTAAATAGCTCCTACTACCTCTTTCCTGATAGCCACATAGATACCTGTCAGCCACGTGCTGAAGGAGGACCTTTGTTATTCCAGTGCTCTCTCCAACAGAGAGGCATGTTTTAATGACCTTAAGCAGGCTACACCTCTAGATCTTGCCCGCCTACATGATTGTCCACCACAAGCAAGGCAGGGAAAGAACTTGCATGTGTTCATCAGTTCCTTGCACGTGGCAGCATTTTTTTGGGCTATGGGGAAGTATATGGAGGCAGAAGTAAGCAGATCTCTGTGAATTCAAGACCAGCCTGATCTATAAGAGCTAGTTCCAGGACAGGCTTCAAAACTACACAGGGAAACTCTGTCTCAAAAAAGAAAGAAAGGAAGGAAGAAAGAAAAGAAGGAAGGAAGGAAGAAAAAAGGACAAGAAAAAAACAAAACAAAACAAAATCTAGCTGTGATTTGCTCTTGCCTATTCCAAAGTCAGGATTATAATAGAAAGAGCAAAAAGAAAAAAAAGAAAAAAATGTAAAAATAATAATAATAATAGAAAGAGCTAGGATAAAAGCCTCCATATACTTCCCCATAGCCCAGCATGCAATACTAATGTTCTGATATCCTGCTCTTAGGTGGAATTGATGCACACATGGGAAATAGAAAAGAATATGTCAGTATCAATGGAATAATATTCAAGCTACAAAGATGAGAGAATAAATGAACAAACAATATTCAAAACAACTAGAAGAAAAGCAACAAAATGAAAAGCCATTATTAAATAATTCATAGTGGTAGTGGTCTTTCATGCCCAACTGAAGTAAACTCTCTATTGGAGAGAGCACTGGAATAACAGAGGTCCTCCTTCAGCATGTGGCTGACAGGTATCTATGTGGCTATCGGGAAAGAGGTAGTAGGAGCTATTTAATGATAGTTGTATTCAGTTCTATCACAAATTAACACGTAACTGGACTTCTGAAAGGGTAAAAAAAACAAGACACTCCAGGGAGGGTCTAGGCCCTGCCCCAAATGATGTGACAGACTTTGATGATTCCCCCCATGGAAGGCCTCGCCCTCCCTGTCGAGTAGGAGGATAGAATGGGGGGTTAGTGAGGGGAACTGGGATTGATATGTAAAATAAGATTGTTTCTAGCTTAAATTTAAAAATCTAGAGGAAAAAAACCAAGACCCAGAAATATGTTGCCTATAAGAAATTTAATTACTAATACAATTACATCCAGAATGAAAGTAAAATGGTAGAAAATACTTCAAGAAAACTGAGTCTATAAACAAACATAAAAAGCTGTACTTATATCAAACTGAGTATACTTTAGGAAAAAACAATGATAAGAGAAAAAGAAACTGACTGCATGTTGATGAATGACTTATTAAGTTTACAAGACATGAAAATGTCAATAATAAATCCCTGTGATTCTTCTGAAGACAGAAAAGCAAGAAAAAGCCAAACCCAACAATAATAGAAGGAAAAGCATGATATCAGAGTAGCAATAAATAAAGTAGGTTTTTAAAAGGAAAATACAGGTGATCAATAAGACAGAATTAGCTATTTTAAAAGATAAATTGTCAAACTTTTAAGTAAATGACAAAATAGAAGGGACTCAAATTCCAAATACATGAAGTCAGAGGCCTGTGACATACATCAGTTAGTAGGATAGCACTTGCCTGGTATGTGGGAGGTCCTGGTTTTAATCACTAGAATTAAAAAAGGAAAATTGCTAATAAAAGTGTCAGTTAAAAGATATTACAACTGCTAACTCCCTCTCCCCTCCCCCCATGCTCCCAATTATCTCAGGAGACCTTGTCCCATTTCCCCTTCTCCGAGGGACCATGTATGTCTCTCTTAGGGTCCTCCTTGTTTCCTAACTTCTCTGGCAGTGTGGATTGTGGGCTGAAGAAAGAGAAGGGGAGAAATAAATCAGTGAACAAATCCAACAAAATTCCTTACAGTGAGGCTTATTCATCACTGAGAAGAAGCATAAGTTTAATAACAGAAGTGTAATGTCCGGTGATAAGTGCTAGGAAACCATAGTAAGCAATAAGAGAATAATGATGACAACTACATATTGAATAAATGTACTATACTGGATTACATAATATTATCAAAATAGTGAAAGACCTTCACAGACAGTTACAACCCCACTACACAAGATATGAAAATAGGAGCATCAGAAGTTTAATAGCATTCCTATCTACACATTCCAAACTGGCCTGGGTGACATGAGACCCTGTCTCTAAAACAAACAAGTAAAAGGAATCTAAAGAAATGTATGTTTATATACATGATTTGTGGGGACATTCACTAGTACCATCGCTGTGAAGGAAATTTATCAAAATGTAAAATTTGTGTATATTTAACTCACAAAATCTACTCTGAAGTATTTACAAACACATTTGTGTATAACGTAGACATAGGTGTTAAAGGACTTTTTTTACAGCTACATTGATATCAAAATGGAGAAACAAACCTGCAAACAATTTTTATGTTTCTTCACAGGCAGCTTGTTGAATACAATATGAATATCTAAAGAAAGGGGAGACCATGTACATCTGATACAGAAAATGAAGGAAATGGAAGTGTTATGTTAATCTGGAAATTTTTCCAAGATACAAAGCACATGAGAGAGCAGTTTCTAAGTATTATTTTAAGAAAAGATGTAGACCTATTTTCACGCTCATCTACGATAGCTCTAAAAGACACACAGCTCAATTCCAAGATGCAAGATGAAACACTCAAGCTATCATCAGTTTGCACTGTACAATTCAAAATTTTTATTACCTACACTTTATTTCCAAAGCAGTGAAAAAGCACTGAGGCAAACATTGTTCATTTTACACAAATTCGAAATTCCTCCATGCGTTAGCTTAGTGATCAAAATAAATATTGAGCATGTCCTGAGAATGGACAATGCAAGCATATTATGCCAATGATTCTCAATGGGTTGCAAATTATATTGGCTGGCTGACTAAAGCAATCACATTAGGATTATAATTAACAAATTGCTGTTTCAGATCATTATTTAAAGATAAAACACACAAACCAGTGTCGTCGTTTGGCTATAGAAGTATTTATGGCATGACACTGATATATAATCCGTGGCCTGGCTATATTTGAAAAGTAACTTTCACGTGACATGTTTAGGTTTATACTTCTTTCTTAGGGTACATATGTCATCAAAAGCATCAAAAACTGGAGCCAGGTGTAGTGCCCCATGCCTGTAATTTCAACATTAGGGAAACGGATACAGGAGGATCAGAAAATCAAGGTAATATTTTTCTTTTTAAAAGAAATCATTGTTCCTTTAAAGCTGCTCAAATTGGAGTTCCTGTAATTCTTATGAGTGCTCTGTTTTGCCAGAGTGCCATGGTAGAGAGGCACTCATGCAGCATTGCAGCAGTGAACAGTTTTTCCTCCAGTGTATAGCTGTTGTGCTACTGAGAAAGCAATGTTTTTGAAAATGACAGCAGTTTGGTGTATACTAGAATGTTCTGAGAAAGCCACTGCTCTAAAGTTGTTTTGACAAAAAGCATTATTTTCCCAGGGCTGTATCACAATCTGATTAATAACGAGGAGCTGAGTGATTTGGAATCAAATAAAGTTGACATGAATCTCTAGCAACATAGCAGCACCATAATGACTTGTTTCATTGCAGGTAGCAATAAAGCCTATATGATAATACATAAACTAATTCCCAGCTTGATTCCATCCAATTTTTGATAAAGCTATACAAATGCCATGTGTATTGTCCTTACATATTCAGCAGGACAAACAACGAGAAAATACCTGGGTTTTTTTAAGGGTATGATAGACAGAAGATTATCTGAACATTTAAATATTCCCATAAAGATTTAGATAAGAAAGGTAAAGCATATGCTGGCAATTTTAATATCCTGTGACTGAGACTCATTTGAAGATAATCTTCACATGAAAATTTTACCCAGACTGATCAATCAAACGATATATATACATAAATTACACGACAAGTGTATGGAGAATTATGTTTGCCACAAAGTGAAGTATTCCACCTTGATAAAAAAATAGTATTGTGAATTCATTACAGAATATTTTATGAAATCTGAGAGATAGAGTAGACTTACTTATGTTAGGAAATCTGCCATGCAATACATCCATATTATGAAAACCAATAGTTTATCTTCCTTATGATTCTCTGCATTTACATTTCCATGGTATTTTACCCTGATTTGTAGCTGATTCCTTTGTGAGTATTTTTGCAGCTTTTGGATTTAACACTGACCTATAATAATTTTATAAAAATTCCCCATTGATCGTTAGGATTCCTCAGTAATGGATTAGGGACATTCTGGTGTGTTCTTCCAGACTGCAGCAATCTCAAGCAGGAATTAGGCACATGTGACCCAGGGGACAGATTATATGATGAAAACTCAGAGTGGAGTTTCTAACAATCTTTTATTTTTATAGTGAGACTCCAACCTACTATATGAGATTGGGATATAGCAATTTGCCTCTGCCTAATAGGAGTTTTATCAGAATTTAAGAGTGTTGAAAGATGTTAGAAAATTAAATTGTAAACCAGAATTTTAAGCCTTAATTGGAAGGTGAGATACTCATCTGAATCAGGTCTAACATCATAACTTGTTAAAGCAAAATGGAAAGATGGGTTCTGATAGGACTTCCCAGTCAGCCCAATGCACACATCAGGCAGATACAGATCTGGTTGTCAACACAGTAAGGTTCTGCATCAGATGGAGACTCTGCTTTCTAGGGTGGAGTCTGAAGCAGAGCTAGGATGCTGGTAAAATCAAGAGCCAAATGATGATTCAAATGTGCTATAGTTTTCACTGTTGAAACTGTATGGTCTAGAAATTAAAGCTAGGTAAAATGTTACTTCAACCTATCTTTTGGAAACTTCCTTGCATGAATCCACTTCTGCCACTTTATAAATTAGTTCAGTAAATTTTGAGGCAAGTCTTTTGATGCCTTACCATTTTATGTGATTGTTTTCTCTAATATTTATCAGAGCATTAAATATCTTTCATCACCTCCTTGTCTAATAACAATGTGTTCAAATAAAATGATATATTTGAAGACCCTGCTGTAAATTATTACCCTGTTTTCACAGAATTCATTATGTACTGTTTTCAGTTACATTCCTTTCTTTGCAATCAATGACACATCAATTCATAACAAATTTATTTTTTTAAAGTTATGCTTTTGTCCTCACAAGTATTTGAAGAAAATTTCCACAATTGTAATTAACTTACTTATATGGGCTTCTATGTTTAATATATTGCAAAAATATATGTTTTTTAAGTAGCAGTTTTCAACTTTACATCATCAACAAACTAGTCCTACATTAATCCTCAGACAAAAGAAGCAATGAATTTCTTCTTACCATCATAATCATGAAATATATTGTAGCTTTCATAATATATAGCCCATAAACAACAGAAAAACTGTTTAATTCCTTTTCTTCAAAACTGAAATAAGCCCTTCTAAGATTTTTAATTTATTTGAATGCCAGATTAAAATATTAATTAGAATACTAATTACATGAGATTTTAACTTAGCAGGTCTCTGCCCTTTTCTGTTGTTATTGCTTTAATTAATGTTTCCATTGACAAATATTGGAAATGACTGTAAATTAGGAAGTAGTGGATATACTGGGGTCGATTTATGATAGATGCCATGTCAGAGTAAATTAGTATTCACAAGAACAATTTCTCTGCAGTCCTTTGCTACACATGAAACAAGTCTTCCTTGTGTTTGGGGGTGCTCTGTTGAAAACTAAAACTATTCCCTAAATCTTCGGACAGTGTTAGTAGTTCCCAAGAGTTAATCACAGGCATACTCTCAAAAGTGGTGAGTACCAACATTTGTCATGTTTTCTGCATTCTGATTTTCCTTCTCGTGTATTTTTCTCTCAGTGAGGAACAGATCCTCCTAGGCCTTTAAAAATGATTTAATTCTAAATGCTAAAATCTCAGCAGTCATGAGCTGTTATTCAACACAAACCATAGCAAACCATAGCATAGGAGTCAAGGCTAGAAGACAGCAGTGAGAAATTCGAATTCCAAAGAGAGATGCCCTGGTGAAGAAGATACCATAAAATGAGAACCATTGTAAATGACAAATTGGTAGCATCTCCTTTAGATACCCATTTCTCTCTTTCAGGGATAGGTTGTTCCCTAGAGAAACAAACACATTTTTTGGCAAGCTAAGCAGTAAGAACGCTGCAATTTTACAGGAGATAATAAATCTTGACTTATGTTGTTGTTATCCAGATTTAACAACCCAGACAGTAGTGGGGATTTGCCTTTGTTGCCTTGGAACCTTACTTAAATGACAACTTATAAAGACATTCAGGACATATATATTCCAAGAGGTCATAAATCCTACCTGAGAACAACGCCCTAACCCATGGCGATGTGAAAGAAGGTTGAAGGCATAATGAAGGAGGGCATTATTGAAGTGACAGCCTTAAGCCAAGAGAGTATGTGGTGTGTTGCCTAAGTGGCAAGTGGGTCCTCAGGTAGGTTCAGAAATATAACTTATCCAAAGATCACAAAGAGGAAAGTGTTGGCAGAACACTGTGAATAGTTTTCACGGTTATTCCAAGTTTTCAACAACGGAAATATACATCTCCAGACGAAAGTGAGAATGGGGAAAGGGATGATTTAGAAAACCAAAAAGGAAAAATAAAGGTAGAAGAGAGAGCTTCTAAGATTTCTGACAGTGATTTCTGCCCTATGTGTCTGTGTTAGCTCTATCTAAACGTAGGTGCACCGACTGATTCACTTCGAATACCCATGAAATGGCAGTCAAGGGTCACCAGCCCTAAAATTATGTTACAAAATGACTACGACTTCACTTTCTCTTAGCCATGTTAAACTTCTCTTTGGGAAGGTCCATATTTGAGGAAATAACACATTTAATGAGGATCCAGTAAAGAATTAAAGTTTGTGACCAATTGTGAGCTTAGAAATAGATCCGCCCTGAAATAGAGAAGGGAATAGCAGTCTACAAGTGATATGATGAGATGGATGGGGGAAATGGGGCCTTTAATTAGGAACAGGGAACAGAGACAGATACAGAAGGAGTGAGGGGAGTAAAATAACTGTAACAGTGTCTGAAAAGGTCATAAAGAATCACACTATGCCTAAAATACCTATAATATATGTAAATTGGTGTATAAATATATGTACATAGTTTAAATGAAATTTTCCCATTTGACCTAACAATGCTCCCTCTAAGAGCCAAATACCACCTACCAATAATCACAGTACCAGTCATCAGAAGCCCTCTTTTGACTTGATCAGGGTTAGCGAAGTTACTCCCAAAACATTGTACGGTATGGATGCTTCCCTTGGTTGCCCCAAGAAGTGGGAGATAAATTCATATTACTGAAGACACCATGAACTTCAGACACAGTCCAAAAGCCACTGAACTGTAACTGTTCTGAATGCCAGACCCTTGAGAATTAGATTTCATGGTACCAGAAGTCACTTTACAAGCTCTCCAATGAGGGAAGCAACCAATAGTCCTACCCAGCTCTGATAACCATGAACCATAACCATCAATATGACAGGATAACACTAAAGATGCAACAGTGGTGTTCATACCTTGGTAGTAACCAACTGCTCTCAAATTGGACCTAAGACTCATTCAACAAAAGGGATATTATGGCTGGATGGAAACCTAGCCAACTACATGAGGCTATTGCAGTTATGGATCTTGAAGGAGAACATGTAACTACCATTTTACTAAACTAAACATAATCTTTAACTACATCTTAAATATTTATCTTTATACCAAAATATAAGTGTAGTTCTCACCCCTTATCAAGAAAACTACTCTTAGCTAGGCGGTGGTGGCACAAACCTTTAGTCCCAGCACTCAGGAGGCAGAGGCAGGCGGATCTCTGTGAGTTCAAGGCCAGCCTGGTCTACAAGAGCTACAAGACAGCCTCCAAAGCCACAGAGAAACCCTATCTCAAAAAAACAAACAAAAAAAGGAAAGAAAACTTCTCTTTGCAATATATGGAGATTATCACCCAAAACCACAACTGATCAAAATGCAGAGTTGTGGGGCCCAGTCCCACAACACAAGTCCTGAACCTAAGACTAGGGAACCACTGCAAAACAGAGACAGAAAGATTATAAGAACCAGAGGAATGAATAGCTGCACCCATGAAGTCTCACCAATATGGCTTAATAAGGATGACACCAATAGACACGTTAACATTGAAGGGAGTCCATAGGGTCCCCACCTTAGAATGAACTACCAGCAACTCAGAAATGCTGAAAACAGGAGAAAGTTTCTTCCCCAGGGAAGAAGACACCAATTGTTTGCCCAATACCAAATGGTCAGGCTTGAAAATATGTACATAAAAATCTTATATGACTGAGTTGTTGTATTCAGATATTTAGAGAGGTGTGTGTGTATAAAACAACAATTAAAGGAAGAGACCGTGAATTTTAGAAAGCGCCTAGAAGAGGTATGTGGCAGTGTTTGGAAGGAGGAAAATGTTACAATTATACTATCATTGCAAAAAAGTTTTTTAAAAAACTAAACAGAGAAAAGGAAATAGATACTCCCCACGAAAGCCTCAGAAAACTGAGATCCTGGAATATTTTTTAATTTGGATTCACATTTCTGACCATCTGAACCTGTGTGACAAATACTATTTATACCATTAAGCTATTAAATATTGTAGTTATGCATTACATGGCCATGGATTACTAACACAAATGGTATGGAATAGTCATCCAGGAAATAAGCTATAATTGGAATCACATACAATGGTGAGAATGTTTAAATAAAACTCAGGGAAGAAGTGTTTATTGCCACATACATAGAGGTGATTTTAAGTTTGGGGATTTTGCAGACAAGCATGATAAAACGAAAGTAAAGAAGTTGAAACATTAGAAAGGAATGGGCATGGTCCTTAATTGTGGGGTTTACCTTGAGCAAGGAGATTGTTGAGACTGTGAGAAGAGAAAGTAAGAGAAAAGGTTAATAGATAATACTTACTGGAGGGGAGATGGACTTGGATTAAAGAAAACTGGAAATAGACTGTGGTGGTGGCAAACAGAAAGCTTGAGAATGAGTTTATTGGAGGGCTGCGTTGTTGACAACTTCTACAATACAACCGTGGAAACTGGTGTATAAGTAAATGATGGAGAATGGTGGCCCCACAAAAATATCTCAGTGTGCATACCCCAGGGTGTATGGTTGTTAAAATAATGCATAACAAATTATGAAATATAGAAGTGTGAGTTAAGAATATAAATCTTGAAGAACATTTAGAAATAAGACATTTGATGGTAGATAACTGTTAGAATAGCAGATAGGAGACAATATCATTAATAGCACAAGAATAAAAATTGGTTTTTCAGGAAAATGGATGATTTTCACTGCCTAAAAAGTGTCATAAAGAATTTTTCTGTGTAAAATAAAAATTACTCCAAAATGTTACTACCGAACCATTTTTAACAAAAATATTGATTAGTTTACAGTATGCCCAATTTTGTCCAGGAAATCTTTTTAATGCCTAAATTATACATAATTATCCTAATTAGTATCCTATACTCCCTCCCAAATGAATATTTACCATTATTTTGGATGAGTGCTGTGTTATCAATGTCCTATGATTAGATCTTAAGTCATGGTGCTGTAAGAACTATAGGTATTGCTTTTCAGTTGTATTCTCAACATTAAACCATTCCAACACATTGGGTGATTCATAAATGTTGGATATGTTAAATGAAGTTATTTTTCAAAGCAAGTGCACAGTATATTATTTGTCATTGAGAACCGTGTGTGTGTGTGTGTGTGTGTGTGTGTGTGTGTGTGTGTGTGTGTATGTGTGTGTGTGTGTGTGTTTATGGATATTGTGCAATGAGTGTGGAGGCCAGAGCGTAACCTTGGGTGACATTACTGGGGCAGTCAGGAACAATTGTGAGACCTTCACATATCACTATTTATTTAATCCTCACAACGCCTGATACTCTAACCATGGTCATGGCTATGGACAGAGCAGTAAAGAGGTAAAATCAAATGCCCAGTGCCATACGGTAAACAGCAGATAGAACCAAGATTTTTATGCACGCGCTTAGACTGGAAACATTCAGTCATTAATGTAAAGGTGCTCAGCAACGAAAAAGACTTATTTCACATGGTCCACCGCGAACCATTTTGGGATCATTAGAGATTGAAGGTGTCATGAATAGTAAGGGAATGGAACAGAGATGGAAGGAACGCTTCATTGATTCCAAAGTGTTTCAACCACCAATGATGAAGCTGTACAGAGCTCAAAGAACCTCAGAAATGCATGGAGAGGTCAGTCTATGAATAAAAATCTCCACATTTCTGAACACTCAGTCACTAAAACAAACCAGCAAGCTTGAAGCAATCTTTGACAATATTTCTAAAATTGATCATTTAAACATTGCAGAGAATATAAATGACCAGGGCATGCCTTGTGGTACATGACGATCAGTGGAGATAATTTTGACAGAGATGAGGCTAAAATAAAAACCGCTTACATTTTTAACCAAATAAGAAGTCTATGAACCTAATATAGTGTTTACATCAGATAGTTTCAGCAAAATGAATTTCATTTTTAATGTTATTTTAGCATGTAACATTCTATTTATCCTTTTAACTTGCCAGATACACCTTTAAATACAAATTCTGCATCTCATCCTGGGGACGTAATGTAGCATTTAAAGTGTTGTAATAGCCTGTAAACAGTACAGAAACATCTCTTTTTCTCAGCCTCAAAATGTTATTCAGGACTTACGGAAGTGACAGTTTCTCCCCCTTTTCTTATTTATTCTTCTCTCATACAACACATCCCTACCGAATCCTCCCATGCCTCCAACCCTCCCAGCCCCTCCCCTCAACTGCCCCCCATATCCATTGCTCTGTGATTGCCACTTCAGTTTCTATGAAGCCCTATAACTCCAGTTCAGTTGATTCTGTGGGCCATGTTCTCCTGATGTCCTCCAACCCATGGCTCCTACAATCCCCCCTCTCCCTCTTTTCTGCAGAGTCCCCTGAGCTCCACCTAATTGGTGGCTGTAGGTCTTTGCATCTGCTCCCATCAGCTGCTGGAAGAAGTCTGTAATGACAATTGGGCTAGGCAATATCTATGAATGGCAGTTTCTAATCACAACAAAAGAAATGGGCAGGGTTATTCTAACTTCTCTTCCTCCTAGATTCCAAGACAGATTTTTTTAAGTTGTTAGTGATTGTGGTGTCATTGGGATGTCTGCAAAGCAAAACTGCAACCTAAATGACCTGTATTTAACAGACTAGAGCAGTGGTTCTCGGCCTTCCTAATGTTGAGACCCTTTAATACAGTTCCTCGTGCTGTGGTGATCCCCCAACCATAAAATTATTTTTGTTGCTACTTCATAAGTGTAATTTTGCTACTGTTATGAATTGTAATGTAAATATCTAACATGCAGGGCATCTGATATACCATCCCATGAAAGGGTCATCCAACCCCACAATGGGGGGGTCATGACCTACAGGTTAAGAACCACTGGACTAGACAAAAATCATATAAATGAGAATTGTTTCAAAACGTTCAGTCTCATTGTAAACAGATGAAAAGACAAGAAAAAATGGGAAATACAAAACACTTGTTGGTACTGTGAATGCATTGTATGGAACAAGCCTGGTTATAACAGGAGTAAACTTTTAACTATGACACTAAAATCAAAATTGTATGCATTTAAGTTTATGAGCAAATTGCTGAACTACTAGAGTAACCTACAGAAGTAAACAATATGCCCAGTATGCCTACACAACTTTTTTTCAATTGATAGCTTCGTACTGTAATCCAGTATATATCAGTCATTTTCATCCCCAACTATTCTTTCCCCTCTCTCTCCCCCAATCCTAATGGAACCCTAATTGTTTGCCTTGTATTATGAATATAGGCAAAATGAACATGGAATTGCAAGTATCTCTGTTGCAGCATATGAATGGAGCCTCTGGTAAAATAACGGTACGTATGAATCATGTAGAAGCTCTATTTTTAGCCTTTGAGAGATCTCCACACTGGTTTCCATTGAGACTGTGCCAGTTTACACTCAGGTCAATGGGTCCTCTTTCCCCATAGGCCCTCCTGCATTTGCAGTCATTTGTTTCATCAATGATAACTATTTGGGCAGAAATAAGATGAAATCTCAAAGTCATTTTAACTTGTAGTTCCCCAATGGCTAAGAATGTTGAACATTTTTAGAATATTTACTAATATTTCTTTAGAACAGGAGAACTGATAGAATGAATGTATAACTAATACACATAATATATGGGATTTATTAGAATTGCTTACAGCAGGGATCCAACTGTTCCAATAATAGCTGTCTCCCACTGAGAAAACCCAAGAATCCAATAGCTGTTTGGTACAAGAGGCTGGTTGTCTCCTGCAGTCTTCATTGTTCACCAGAATCCTGAAGAAGTAGGCACTAATACTAGTAAAGCTTTCCAATGGGAGTGAGGACAAGCAGGCAGAGAGCAAATGTTCCTTCTTCCATGTCCTTTTTTTATTTTGATTTTTTTTATTAGTTCAAATTAGGAACAAGCTTGCTTCACAGGACAATATCTTCACCCTCTCTCTCTCTCCTCCCCTGAAATTCTCCTCCAACTCCCACCTGTTTTCCACTCCATCCCCCCTCCACTCCCCAGGCAGAGCAGGGCCCTTAACGGGGGTTTCCCCAAGGCCACCACATCATCATGGGCCTGGCCTAGGCCCTCCCCCATGTGTCCAGGCCGAGAAAGCATCCCTTCACGTGGGATGGGCTCTCAAAGTCCCTTCTTACACCAGGGAAAAATACTGAACCACATCCAGGGGCCCCCTAGAGTGTGGAGGCCTCCTCATTGACATCCATGTTCAGGGATCTGGATCAGTTCCATGCTCTCAATCAGTCTGGGGTTGATGTGTTCCCCCTTGTTCAGGCCAGCTGTTTCTGTGGGATTCACCAGCCTGGTACTGGCCCTTTTGATCTTCATTCCTCCCTCTATGCAACTAGTTTCCAGAGTTCAATTCAGTGTGTCTCTGTGGATGTCTGCCTCTGCTTCCATCAGCCACTGGATGAGGGTTCTAGGATGGCATATAAAGTAGTCCTCAGTCTCATTATAGGGGAAGGGCATTTAGGGTATCCTCTCCACCATTGCCCAGATTAAAAGTTTGTGTCATCCTTGTAGATCTCTGGAAATCTCCCTAGTGCCAGATCTCTCCTTGGACTTATAATGGCTTCCTCTGATATGGTATCTCTCATCCTGTTCTCCTCTATTCTTCCCCCCATTCAACATTTCTGCTCCTCCCTTTCCTCTTCTTCCCTCCCCCCCTCCCCCTCTCAGTCTGTCTGCTCCCACTCCCCTACCCTCATGCTCCCAATTAGCTCAGGAGATCCTGGCCCTTCCCATTCTCTGGGGTCCATGCATTTTTCTCTAAGAGTCCTTCTTGTTTCCTAGTTGCTTTGGTGAAGAGGACTGTAGGTTGGTAATCCTTTGCTCTATGTCTAAAATTCATATATGAGTGAGTACATACCATGTTTGTCTTTTTGTGACTGGGTTACCTCACTTAGGGTGGTTTATTCTAGTTCCATTCAAGATTCCATTGCTGTTTTTCTGCTGAGTAGTACTCCATTGTGTAAATGCACCACATTTTTTCTATCCATTCTTCAGGTGAGGGGCATCTAGGTTGCTTCCAGGTTCTGGCTATTGCAAACAACGCTGCTATGAACATGGTTGAACATATGTCCTTGTTGTATGAATGTGCATTATTTGGGTATATGCCCAAGAGAGGAATGGCTGGATCTTGAGACAGACTGATTCCCATTTTTCTAGGCAACTGCAATACTGATTTCCAAAGTGGTCTTTACAAGTTTGCACTCCCACCAGCAATGGAGGAGTGTTCATTTTCTCCACATGCTCTCCAGTATAGATTGTCATTGGTGTTTTTTATTTTAGCCATTCTGACAGGAGTAAGATGGTATCTCAGAGTTGTTTTGAGTTGCATTATTCTGATGGCCAAGGATTTTGAACACTTTCTTAAGTGTCTTTCAGCCATTTCAGATTCCTCTGTTGAGAATTCTCTATTTAGTTCTATTTAATTTCATTGTTTGGTGTTTTGGTGGCTAGCTTCTTGAGTTCATTGCATATTTTGGAAATCAGCCCTCTGTCAGATGTGGGGTTGGTGAAGATCTTTTCCCATTCTGTGGGTGGTCATTTTGTCGTTTTGTCTTACTGTGTCCTTTGCCTTGAAGAAGCTTCTCAGTTTCAGGAGGTCCCCTTTATTAATTGTAGATCTAATTGTCTGTGCTACTGGTGTAGTGTTCAGGAAGCGGTCTCCTGTGCCAATTTGTTCAAGGGTATCTCCCACTTTCTCTTTAGTGTGGCTGGATTTATGTAGAGATCTTTGATCCATTTGGACTTAAGTTTTGTGCATGGTGACAGGTATGGATCTATGCAATTGTCTGCATGTCTGAATCCAGTTGTGCCAGCACCATTTCTTGAAGATGCTTTCTTTTTTTCCATTGTATGGATTTAGCTTCTTTGTCAAAAATCAGGTGTTCATACATAAGTGGGTTAATATCAGGGTTTTCAATTCAATTCCATTGGTCAATCTGTCTGTTTTGTGCCATTTCCAAGCTGTTTTCAGAACTTTGGCTCTAAAATAGAACTTGAAGTAAGGGATGGTGATGCCTCCAGAAGATCCTTTATTATACAGAGTTGTTTTGGCTGGCCTGGGTTTTTGTTTTTCCTTATAAAGTTGAGTATTGTTCTTTCAAGGTCTGTGAAGAACTCAGTTGGGATTTTTATGGGGATTGCTTTGAATCTGTAGATTACTTTTGGCCAGATTGCCATTTCTACTATGTTGATTCTACCTATCAAAGACCATTGGAGATCTTTCCATTTTCTAGTATCTTCTTTAATTTCTTTCTTTAAAGACTCAAAGTTACTGTACAGGTCTTTCACTTTTTTGGTTAGTGTTACCCCAAGATATTTTATGTTGCTTGTGGATATTATGAAGGGTGGCATTTCTCTGATTTCTTTCTCATTGCATTTATTATCTGTATATAGTAGGGCTACTGATTTTTTGAGTTAATTTTGTATCCTGCTACTTTGCTGAAGGTGTTTATCAGCAGGAGTTCCCCGGTAGAGTTTTTCAGGTCACTAATGTAGACTATCATGTCATCTGTAAATAGTGAAATTTGACTTCTTCCTTTGCAATTTCTATCACTTTGATCTCCTTTTCTTGTCTTATTGCTCTATCTAGAACTTCAAGTACAATATTGAAGAGGTATGGAGAAAGTGGACAGCCTTGTCTTGTTCCTGATTTTAGAGAAAATGCTTTGAGTTTCTCTCAGTTTAGTTTGATGTTGGCTGTTGGTTTGGTGATGTTCCTGTTATTCCTGTTCTCTCCAAGATCTTTATCATGAAGAGATGTTGGATTTTGTCAAAGGCTTTTTCAGTATCTAGTGAGATGATCATGTGGTTTTTCTTTTTCAGTTTGTTTATATGGTGGATTACATTGATGGATTTCCATATGTTGAACCATCCTTGCATCCCTGGAATGAAGCCTACTTGATCATAGTGGATGATTTTTCTGATGTGTTCTTGGATTCGATTTGCCAATATTTTGTTGAGTATTTTGCATAGATGTTCATGAGGGATATTGGTTTGTAGTTCTCTTTTTCACTTGTATCTCTGTGTGGCTTGGGTATCAAAGTGATTGTAGCCTCATAAAAAGAGTTTGGCAATGTCCCTTCTGCTTCTATTGTGTGGAACAATTTGAGGAGTTCTGGTTAGCTCTTTTTTGAATTTCTGGTAGAATTCTGCAGTGAAACCATCTGGCCTGGGTTTTTTTTTTTTTGGTTGGGAGGCTTTTTATGACTCCTTCTATTTCATTAGGGGTTATAGGTCGATTTAAACTGCTTATCAGTTCTTGGTTTAATTTTGGTAAGTGATATCTATCCA